TATAAATAAACACACAAGAAACTATAGCACAACATAATCTATAGTAATTACATAATTACTACTTAACCAAGCAAACTTTAAATTAAAATTTATTTTTATCTAAAGTATTTAAAGACTGTTAAGATTAACACAAAGTAATTATGGCGCTTAAATTACCATATTTCTATTTGTCTTGTTTCTCTATCTTATTTTTGTGTTTCTCAAAGTTGTGCTTACTACTGCCCGCATTTTACAGTTCATACATGTACCGATTTAGCCTTCGTGCGCGCTACCTCTTGTTCAGGTTTCTCTGTTTCTTGATCATCTGCATTTCTTGGGGTTTTACTTTCTACGCATCTAGCTACATCATACGTCAAAATTTGGGACCGTGATGCAAATAGATCACAAAAAGATTTCATATATCACAAACTTTGAAGTACATACATTAATTCAGAAGAAATTGGAATCAAGAAAGAAGATTAGGGGTCAGCAAACTTTGCTCTATACAACACAAAAATATATGAAAGAGAAATCTCCTGCTCATCTGCAAGATGCCGACCAAATTTCTCGTTTTTCCCTACAAATGAAGCCGTATAATATGTCCAAACACGAGTTACTTATGTTACTAAACAATTGTCCTTCGACTCAAGTCGAACTTTCCGTGGTAGGCTGATTTTACTAAGAATGTTTACTTTTACCGTTTCTGTTTGTCCATGGCTTTTATAAGTAGGGTCCTTGTATTATTTACTTAATCCCCTTAGTAACTTCATTTTTATCATTCCGAGTCTATTAACTTTTTTTGTTACCTTCATCCAGTTAATGCCCATTTAAAAAAAGAGTTTCTAACTTAGGCCCGTTTCTGTTTTGGATTGCGGTCACAAATCAAACTAGGTCAAAGGCTTGTTTATTCTGCCGCAGTTACCTCTATTTCAAGTTACTAGGACATCATGTTAGGGCCAGAATTTTTGTACCTTTATTTATTTTTATTGGCTAGCTGGAAGTCAATGTTTTACGTTATTAACACGTTGAAATTTCAAAATACATAACATTTACGAATGATCACAAATCCTTACTCATCTAAATTCAGATTTAATTACTCAAGCTATTATTCTCCAATATGCTTTTTTTTATTAAATTATTTAATCTGGTCTGAGGGTGGGACTATTAATCATTATGACTAACCATTGCGTCATCATTACTAAAAGAATAGAACATCTTAATTTTGTGCTTCGTGCACATTCCTCAGATATATTCCAGTGCTTCCAGTTTTCTCAAATTGATTCTTTTTAGCTTAGATTTTTTATTCATTAATATTTTTTGGGTAAACGATAACCTAGGGCAATCTCTGGGTTCTTTTATTTACCCGACAAATTTGTCTGTATATGTGAATTGGGTGGTAATGGTTTGATGATTTAAATTTGCATCGCTGTAATCTGTACCTTCGCTTTCAGATGATATCAGAACTAGACACTCGGTACACTGCCTCGCAAATCGAACAGATTCTGTCTATAACCCGAGAAATCATGCCTGCTAGCGTTGATTTCACTTCAAAGCTTAATTCTTCTGGAGTTAATGAAGACAATTCAGCGGAATAGATTTTT